CCCTCACTATACGCTTGGGTCTGCCAGGTCTGACCGGCTTCTTCCCCTGCCAGCGGATCCAACTCACGACCAGGTGATGATCGGTTGACAGCTCCGCCCCTCTCTTTACCCGAGTGTCCGAGACACGCGGTCGAAGGTCAGATGATACGACAACAAAGTCGATCATCGACCTCCGGCCTAGGGTGTCCTGGTGCCACGTGCACTGGTGGACACCCTTGTGCTCGAACATGGTGTTCGTGATGGACAAACTGTGACTGGCACAGAAGTCCAACAACTGAACACCGCTCGGGTTCAGATCAGGGGGGCCGTTCTTTCCGATCACCCCTCTCCAAGTGTCACTGGCGACTCCCACATGGGCGTTGAAGTCCCCCAGGAGAATAACGGAGTCCCCGGGCGGTGCACCGTCCAGTACCCCTCCCAAGGACTCCAAGAAGGCCGGGTACTCTGCACTGCTGTTAGGCCCGTAGGCCGTCACAACAATGAGAGACTTGTCCCCCACCCGGAGGCGGAGGGACGCGACCCTCTCATTCACGGGGAGAACTCCAACACATGGCGGCTGAGATGGGGGGCAATGAGAATGGCCACCCCAGCTCGCCGCCTCTCCCCGCGGGAAACTCCAGAAAAGTGGAGCGTCCAACCCCTCTCAAGGAGTTGGGTTCCAGAGCCCAAGCTGTGTGTGGAGGTGAGGCCGACTATCTCTAGTCGGTATCGCTCAACCTCCCCCACAAGCTCGGGCTCCTTCCCCCCCAGTGAGGTGACGTTCCACGTCCCAAGAGCCAGATGTTGTGTGTGCGGACTGGGTCGCCGAGGTCTCCGCCTTCGACTGCCGCCCAGTCCTCTCAGCACCGCGCCACCACGGACCCCTTTGCAGGTGGTGGGCCCACAGGAGGGACTGCCCACGTCATCCCTTCGGGCTTGGCCCGGCCGGGCCCCGTGGGCTAAGGCCCGGCCACCAGGCGCTCGCATACGAGCCCCGACCCCAGGCCTGGCTCCAGGGTGGGGCCCCGGCTGCGCCATGCCGGGTGACGTCACTGCTCTCATTATAGTGCGATCCATGGTGGTTTTTGGACTGCGCTTCGTCTGACTCGTCACCTGAGACCTGTCTGCCATGGGAGGCCCTACCAGGGGCATGAAGCCCCAGACAGCATAGCTCCCAGGGTCATCTGAGTACTCAAACTCCCCCACCACGTTAAGGTGGCAGTCCAGGGGGGAGCTTGTAAAAAGTATAATATGTTTTTTGATTTTTTTTTTTTACTTTGGTAGGGTAAAGACATAGATGTGTAACAAGTTCTGCCCTGCCATTTTTTTTTATTTGCTACATAGATGAAGATTATCCATGTAAGTATGATGGTGGGATGTCACTTGTGAAGAAAGTGTTGAAAATATATCTAAAAACACATCTATTCATTTCAATTCAAGTCAATTTATTCTTGTAGAGGACTTTACACAACCATTGAATTTTCCAACACAGAATAAAAGTTGAATAATGAAAAGTAGGATGTGCACAAGTATTCATACAGCTTTTTTTTGGAGTGCATTAAATGGCTTTTAAAACATTCCTAATGACTGCTGAATGTTCACACCAAGTCCCAATGTAAAAAGAGTCCACCTGTGTGTCTAATCTACTCTCAAAGCTCAAAGCTATGACCAGAGTGTAGTGGTCATTGAACAACATCACGGAGAGGTCAGGGATAGAGTTAAGTCCCAGTGAAAGGGGGATCCACAAAGTATAAACTAATGTTGAATGAATAACTGTACAAACACCTTTTTTTTCTCCTATTGCTTAAAACATATTAACAATAAAATAGAAAGTAACCTTAAATATATCAAATAGTGTATTAGTTAAAAATGTATTACTATTATTATTATAAGCCAGAATAAAATGGGGTATTTCAGCCTGCCTTACGCACATGGAAATAAACAGCGATGTCCCTTATACGTCGACTAGACTTGAGCTGAAATAAGACAAATATTGGTCTTGGCAGAGGACTTGGAGCTCAGATCCTGTTACTGCAGACGTCTCACTGTCTTATCAAGTCGTTTGGTCCTCACCTGTCGCTGTGCGTTTGCTTTGGTGACAGTGAGGTTAGGCAAACTATCTGAATATGGTTGCATGTCAGCTGCGTAGTTGGATAAGAGCACTTGTGTGGTCATTGGCAGCCGTCCGCACTCATAATCCTGTGTGAACAGTGCAAAATTCACAGCAGGTCAATTGCGTTTATATAAAATTCAAAGGTCAATGACTCATTTCCCATGAAAGGAGTGCGTCTTTGTCATCTGCTCTATTTCAGCCACTCAGCTAATGTCGCTAATAAGATTTTACTGTTTTAGCTCATTTCAAGTGCAGACAGCAAGAATCTATCTACAAGTTGTTTTCATGTGACAGACTATATTTTTAACCTTTAACATGTTGCACATTTCATGTCTTTTTGATTCTATGCCAAATGTGAATTGTAAAGTTTTCTGTTGTGAGAAAATATCTTTTATATTTTATTGATTCAGTGAATCAATAAAATGTTTATTCACTGAATTAAACAAAGGTTTAATAATACCTTATATCATGCGGACAATCCTGAATGAGTAAATGAAGAACCGGTAGTTAAGATCATAGAAGAACTAAACAGCAGAAATGCAAAAGATTTGTATGGATTAGACTGTACATTCCTAGAAGAATACAGGGATGTACTCAAAATGCCTATCTGCTTATTTAAGCTCATATTCACTCGTGAATCTTCTCTAATTTGGAACCTGGAGTGGGATTTCGACAAACTGCCGGCTGCTTTTTCATTGAGGAAATTAAGTCCAAATTGGACCATGGCAGGGTTGTGGGAACGGTCTTCCTTGACCTCTGCAAGGCATGAGAATGAAAAACACCTTGTCTCCACTGGAAGAATATGCCACGGGCGTGCCCCTTTTTTTAGTGTTTAATTTAATGACCTCCCCTCAGATAATTGTTTATTGTTTAATTTGTGTTTGGTTGGGACAGCACATGTTAATGAACACACCAATCTGGATTGTAGCCTTGGGCTAATTTCCATTCGTCGTCACACAGCACTCACAAACACACACTCATTCACCCTTAACTATTGTACATGTTTTCCCCTACCATGTTTTTAGTGGGAGGGAAAACCGGAGTACCCGGAGGAATATGCAAACAAGGGGATCACATCTAAACTGTTCCGACTGGGAACCTAGGACCATCTTGCTGATAAGTAAGAGTGCTATCCACCCAGCCACCGTGCCGCCCTCATGTATGCAGATGATACTGTACTCTTTGTAAATGAGAAAAATAAAATCAATGTAGCAAAAGAACCGACCATCCAAATGCAGAGGGTGGCTGACTGACTGTATCAAAACTGCCTGACACAGAGAAAAAAGTTCAAAATGGGCGCGGGGCAGGAAAATGTGAAAAAACGCATGCATTATCCGGCACCTGCCCCATTCATTTGACAAGTCTATGGACTAAACAGTCTAGTTTAATCCATAGCAGCTAAACTAGACTGGACCCCAAAAGAAAAAACTCCCCTCATTATTGACACACAGCTGGAACATATAGCGTTGTGCCAAGAGCCGACTTTTAAACCATCCTGTAAAGCTGTTTTTGAGAGGAAAGAAGACGCCATACAAAAGTTTTAGATAATTCTCTTTCCGGTACACCCACAGGTCCGGAGTGAGATCGCAAGCATGTCAGCGCACATTTGAGCCAGGGACCCCCTCCCCCGACGTGATTTGAATTAAATGATTTGGCCAAATTTCATGTACTATATGCTGTTCCCAGGTCTCCAAATCTGCTCAGGGGCATCTTCAATCAATAAATAAATGTGCATTAAGAATCCACTATGAAAAACCTAAACAATGCCCAATCACTGCCCACTGCCCAATCTTACAAAAATATGTATCCTTGAAATTAAATTCTTTATAATAAAGTGCGTGTAGTTTTTTAAATTGTAAACGGTCTTACAGCCCTACCCCTCAGAAAAATCGTGACCCTGTGCTCCAAAAAATGACATCGATCTACAGCAAGAGGTTGGTGCAGCGTCCCAAAATGCGGAACCTCTTTGAATACGTCAGCCTTCTCCTTCACTGCAGCAACTCAGTGGAACTAAACGTATTTGCCCCCCTGACATAAAATTACTCTTGGAAAGAAAATATTTTTTTTAAAGTGTATCTGCACCTGCCCTCCAACCGAAAAAGAATTCTCAATCAAGAGTTTTCAGCAAGATTTCATCCAGTAATGACAAAATGAATACTTGAATACATATTTCATCTTTATGTCACGTTGGTTTGTCTTTAATCAGTGATTTTCTTTGATTTAAGCACAAGGCAATGTATTTGTGGAGTAAGGCTGCACTGCCGCATGGTGATAAATGGATGGAATTGATTGAAATTTGATTGAACTGAACTTTATGTCCCTATAGTTGGTAGTCAAAATAGACTTTCAAGACAAATCTATTGTGTTCTATTTTTTCATTTGTCTTGAGATGAAACAAAAAAGACGTATGACACCCGCCTGTAATGCTGATTAGTCCTTCAAGCGTCGCACTGTCTGTAATGGCACTAAAACTCAGACGTTTGATTTTTTAATTAATGAAGAGCATGCACTTCTTTGGAGCCTTGTGAAAGATGCAGTCATGACGCTATTGCAAAAATAATCGCATTTTTCAAGTCTCGACAGGACGACCAATTCATATCTTAAACAAATGCCCGCGGGGACGTCTCAAACAAACAGACGCATTTCCTTGCATGAAGTAATGCATCTCGTCTTTCAAATATTCCCACATGACTGATTTTTTTTTGCTGAACTTTCTCACCGCCGTATCTTTAATTACATTCTCACGCCGCCTCTGCTTCTAAAACAGTAAAATACCATCACTTGTGTTTGTGATCAAAGATTGTGTGTATTTTCCGAGACAGTGTAATCCATCAGTTAGACATTGGCGTATGTGTTGCTGACAGGCCTAACATGTCGATGCCTTTATGATTAATCCCCTTCGGCTTACCTTGCAGCTTGGTTTTGGGGATTTTCCCGCAAGGCTTGGTGGCTGTAACGGTAGCAGCACAGGTCGCATCCAAAAGCGCCTTCTTGAGCACCCCTGTTCTGTTCTTCTTTCCCGTTGCCAGATCACACTCCCCCCACGCGTTAAACTCGTACTTGCATTCCCCTGTTGAGCAAACAAAACAATCAGAAACTTGATTAGATGCTTTTGTGCACTGGAGTGGCACTAAGCAGTCGTCGTGATGAGGACGCCGATGCAGAAAAAAACAAATAAAATGACACACCTTGAGGTCTATGTTTGTCGTATAAATGCTACCAATTGTAATCATTCAACAAAATATGCCCCTTGAGCCATAATCGTGTGAGTCTTATACTTTTAATAGCCATGATGAGTTTTTTTTTCCCATTTACTTGGCTAATACATTCTACTCATTAAAGGAAAGCCCACCAAATACTCAATACAAGTTCATGTGCAAAGATGCCTTGTTTAGTCATCTTCAGACCAAAAAAACTGTGTATGTACTTTTTAAAATTATATTTGAACAATATGTAATTTCTCACCTTGCCAACTGTGTAGCGCAGACAGAGAGACTGAGAAACTTGTTTATCAATTCATCATCCAGACATCTTACAAGAAAATACTCTAACCAAAACCCATAGTAAAAGTACAGAGTAAAGTGATGACCGAAGTTTGTCTGTGAGTAACATAACTCAAAAAGTTATGGGAGGATTTGGACACAATGTACAGGAAATGTGCTCAATTATTATAATTGCTTCAGTTTTGGAGGTGACTAGAATCACCATCTGGATACAGGATTCCTTATAAGGAATGAGAACCGCCCCTCAAGGCCGAGGTCTGCGCTGTCCGAGTGCTTTTCTAGTTAAAAACAAAGTCCATTATGAGCGCAAGGAAACTAGTTTGTTTATCAATTTATATCAGCAGTTTATATCTGTATTGCATTTGCCATTAGCCAAAACAAGAGCTAATTAGGGGCAGTGGCTCATTTGCAAGTTCAGTTCAATCAAACTGTAACAAACAATGGCAAACTAATATCCTCAGTATCTCTGAAATACAGATTTATGGATAGTCGGTGTTGTAGACAAACATATTAAAATCAGATTGTTGTTTTCCACTGAAATAAGTGGCAATATCATACATGGTCATTCGAGCTTTCACTAGAATAAAAAATGCAATGTTATTATCCTAAATGGAGGGTTACTTTATATCTGAGACTTGATAAAAGCCTTCCCAACATCCACATCTCTCTACTGTGCTGCATTGTTCATAGTCCACAGTGGACACAAGTGGCTTTTGAACTGCACTACAGGGATTTCAGGAGCATCCAATTTTCAAAACTGTAATTTGTCCTGAAGAAGCCCTTTCCTTTCACACCCTGGGGAATAAAACCCCTCATAAGTATTATATTAAAATACACAAACAAATCACAGCAGCACCATTACACATCCTGATGCCCACACAGTCGTGATCTAATAATCAGACTTCCATTGATTTATATTGCCTCGCTATTCCCTAACCACCACTCACTCAAGGACCTTGCCATATTACTGCCATTACCCTTAACCACAAACCCAAGGCTTTGTAGCTAAATATAATATACAATAGACACTTGTTACTCGGGCAGGATTGCACCAACATTGTCCAGTGTAGCCACTGGTTCTATAACTCTTTAAGGTAGTTCCTCCTCAGCAGGTCTGGTTTCATTATAGGATCCATGTAAGTCAAGGCCGCAAAACAAGATACTGTACATGCTGATCCAGAGACCAAGCCGATATTTGATCTTATGATAAACCTCTGTATCTCTAGTGAAGGCACTTTGTGTTGAGCCGAGATGTTAGAAAACAAAGCAAGCACATTTGTAGCTAATGTACGAGAAAGGAACTGCCTTGATACATAGGTTTATATCTGTCTTTCAGTATCAACTGAATACTTCAAATTCTAGATTGAATTACTGAAAATATATTGGGAATGGTTGATATTAGATGTATCACTAATTAATAACCAATAGAATGGATAAAAACAAATATTTTATCAGAATCAGAATCATTTTTATTGCCACGTAAGTAACAGGAGGTCACAGACTTGGAAATTGCTTTGGCTCAGTGCAACAGTCACAAAGAGATAATAAAAATAAGAATAAAAAACACTTCTAAAGAATACATTTAAATTTAAAATAGAGTTACAGTTACTATTTACAATATACAAGTGCACATGGTGCACACAATGTAAGGTGACAGCAGTACAGTGAAGTAAAGTGACGTATGATGGGCAGTAAAGTGACTTTATAAAGGGCGGGGGGACAGGTTAAGAAGTGTTCAAGAGTCCAACAGCAGAGGGGAAGAAACTGTTCTTGTGGCGGGAGGTTCTAGTCCTGATGGACCGCAGCCTCCTGCCTGAGGGGAGTGGTTGGAATAGTCCATGTGCAGGGTGAGAGGGGTCGGCTGTGATACGACCAGCCCGGCCTCGAGCTCGGGCGACGTACAGGTCCTGCAGCGATGGAAGGCTGCGGCCGATCACTTCCTCTGCAGAGCGCACAATGCGCTGTAGTCTCTGTTTGTCCCTGACTGTGGCTCCAGCGAACCACACGGTGACGGAGGAGCTGAGGATGGTATTGTGTGTGTCACCTGCTGCCAGCCCCGTACACCCCTGCAGGGTCCTCCAGTGGTCCATCGCAAGAAATAAAACAAGCCTGAACAGTCCACCTCACCAGCGTACGTACGTTTAACAAGTCGAAACAGTGTTAACTGGGCTCTCGTCGCATGTTTCCTGGTCTCCCTCAGATCAGAGACCAGGAGACCAAACAAATGACCCCCAATTTGCAGCTATCGTCATCCGCCTAAACGTAGACACTCAGGTTACAAATATCAATAGTTTTTCATTGTAATGAGCCCGACAATTTACACCAACAGTGCAACTATAACAAGTGCAGGTATAACAAGCATGATTACGATACACGCCACCATGAATAGACTGACGTTTTTTAACGCATCAATGTCGCTTATCTTACTAATCACCACTGAGAAAACCTGAAAAAGGCATGGTGTAAATTGTGGGTCAAATGTAGCAGCCATGCCAGATTTGAAAATTATACTGAAAATAGGAAAGCATTTGTGAAGCGCAGGTGACTATTGGCTATTTCAGACATTTCCTGTTTGGACGGGGGAAGACCCATGACTGGAAGAGTATGAGCTGCTTTGACTGCTTCCCCCACCTCCCCATCCCAGACAAAAACAGATGGATTGATGGGCACAAGGACAGTTCAGATGTCCAATATCCACTTCTGTCATTTTGTGATTTCCTCGTGGACTGATGGACTACTTCCTGTTTTCTTTTGTCCAGTTGTCTTGGCTCATGGTCACTGCGCCGGTGCTATAATTGGTCCTTTTATTTCAAGTTCACATTTTAAAAACACACTGATGTGTATTGTTCCTTGACGTGACAGATGACAACGTTTTTATTCTTAAATGAAAAGGCCCAAGGCTTGTACAGTGTCCGTTTGCCCAAAACTTTTGTGGTGTAATCTATATAAGCAGTTAGTGGGCCCATTATTTGCCGCAGTGTGTTCATCACTCCTGACAGACTCATTGGCGAGCAGCATGCCACTGCCTGAAAGCCTTTAGTGGGAAAACAAAAGTCCCGCAGGCCTGTCACAGAGAGACAGTTCAGCATTCAAGGCAGCACAGTCTCAAACTCGAGTAGACAATGGTACTAAATGAGCATTCTTCGCCTTTATGTCAAGTTTTAATCAAATTCAAATGAACTGGCTTTGTGTAAGTGTGCCTCAGTCAAGCTGCATATGGAGACACCTTGCTGGGAAAGGTATGATCTACTCCGTTCTAATTTACCTGTCAACATTACAGACTAAGACTTCACCTGTAGTCTGTTCATTGCTATTCACCAGTTCCTAGTCCACCCAAGGCCGTGGGAAGTGGGGGTGTTGGAGGCCCAATTAAATTAACATGACTGTACAACATTTATAATTATTTTATATGTATCATAATAACATGATATAGTGAAAACAAGTTACTGCTTACTGTTTGTAATAATGTTTTAAGTGTTAGCCATTATAAAAGAATAAACATTTGTAGCCATGTTTGGAAATTGAATACTGTGCAGTTTGTCCCTTCAGACTTATACAGTGCGAAAATGCCCAGGCAAAAACGCATTTCAGACTTCTTTCTGCCACTTAAAAAGACAATAGACCCGATAAACCCCAGGCACAAGGTGGAAACGGGAGAAGACAAGCAGCAGGAGAACCTGGAGCACAGTGTGTCTGAGGCGGAGTTAGCAGGAGGTGGCAGCGGATCCACCTCCTGCTGAAAGCCGGGAGAACCGAGCTGGAACAATGAAGAGGCCGAACCAAGTCAAGCAGCGGTAGGACCATAACCAAGAGGAGCGGTGGTACCAGTGGATAAAATACGATTGAGAGACAAATTTGTTTTATATGTGAAAAGCCAACAAAATATATATATTGCATTACATTATACTGCTGCCATTAATCAGTAAAAAGCATTTCGTAAAACATTATTTACCAATCAAGTGTTGCTTTTATCAACAGTCTTCTGCATTTAAACATTATTTATTTTATTATCTTGGGTCATGTTGAGTTTGCAATTATTCTATTTGAGTGGTTTGCTGCATAGCTCAAATATACAGTTTAAACTAAGGCTCTAGTCTTTGCCCTTGTGGGTTTGTTGCCCCTATCCAAAATATGTTCCCACAGCAATGAGTCTACCCCCTCTTGGGTTCCCCCTCCCTCTGGCCCCTGTTGGGTTGATGTGATGTGTGTAGCCGTGGAAGTAGATTCCTCACTTATTGTGGTTTTTCTTTTCTTCCATTGGGTTTTATGGACCTTTTATTAAGATTTTTTATTTTTGTGTTAAAACTAGTAATTACAACAGTTGGCAGAAGTTTGTGATTTTAGACCGGAGGTTTTAGTATCTGAAGGTCCAAGTAATCACATCCAGGAGCGACGTGGCAGATGTAGTGAAAACTCCGGTCGTGTCGCTGATGCTGTGAACGAACATGTTTCCTCCTGAGACGCATTTACAAATCTCTGCATCATTTGTCAATTTCTTCAGTTTTTTTTTATTTTCCTGGCTGATTCAGGAGGCTCAATTGGTTATCCTTAATCCTTTGGCGTGTTTAAATGTCTAATCGGCTGTTGGTGAATCGATATATATACAGTGATTTGAATAATTGAAGGGAATATGCTAAAAAAAAAAAGGAAGTTCCTATTGTGCGTGTTGTTTACCTCCAAACTTCTTCTTCCAGTTGCAGGGGATCTTGCAGCGCTGGGTCTTGATGGTCTGTTTGCAGTCGGTTCCTGTGCGGGTGCCCTCTCTGGTGCCCAGTCCACAGTCGCCCTCATTGGCCACACACACGCTCCACTGCCACTCTCCACAGTCAGATCTGCGCTCCTTCTTCCCTATAATGATGATAGCACTGCATGATCATCTTATTTTGGTTTTTGATTCTTGACAATGTAGTGATTTGAAGTTGAACGGTACAGCATTACATAACACCATCATTTAAACATGCAGAAACTAGTTTAGAGTATCAACAAAAACTGATTTGAACATAAGCTGGAGCCAATTTCTTGATATGAGCCTTTGTTCCGATGGCTGAGAGGCTAAGAGGGCTGTTAAGGCTGAAAGCGAACGCATCTGATTGGTCAACCTGCATCACTCGTAAATTGAGCTTCTTTGAGCCCGCGGATCAGCGTTGTATCTACAGTCAAAGCCAGGGATGTCAAAGTCAAATACATCAGAGGGCCAAAAAACAAGTTTGCTACAAGCCGAGGGCCGGACTGGTTCAATGTTTAATAAAATGATTGTATATATATTGAACTAAGACACTGTACCATATTTTATTTAATGATTAAATAAATAATACAATATTTTTGTATGGCTCCGTCAGTAATTTCAAGTGAATTTTTCAACTGACTCACAAACAAAAACAAACTTCTTTCAAAACACTCTTGAACATAATCCAATAATCCATCATTTTCCTATGGCTCTATGTGGGCCGGTTCTAATACTAATCAAATATCATCCCCGGGACCAAGATCATTCATTCACGGGTCCCCCCGTCTGGCCACCGGGCCTTGACTTTGACACCCATAGTCTAAGCCAATCACTTTTTTAATATGCATTCATGGCAATAATGATTGACAATGTATAAAGTATAAATGTTCAATGAAAGACTAGCTGATTATTGTTTTCCGTTCACGTTCATACACAGTTTAAATAATTCAAAAAAGCAAACGTTCTGTCTTAAAGCTTTATTTGTCACGGTTTTGAAACAAGAAAAACAATGTCTTTTTTTTGTGTGGCTGTAGATAGTGTTTCCTCATTTTTATGCATGCTTCTTGTTGAAATAACATAAAGTCTAAATTGGTTTTTCAAGTCTCCCACATGGACCTATTAATGAACCTCTTTGCGGAGTGTAATTGTTTCTTCTATTGTTAATCTTGCCCTTTTTTGTTTTTCACTCTTAAGATAAATCAATTACAATATTTGCAAAAAGTCTGTATTTATTATGGTAGTCTCAAGATTCTCGTCCTACCCTTGGGACATATGTTTATTCAAAGCTACAGCTGTATAAAACTCTTACCGGCATAAACACTGAATAACTTTCTTGGCTCATTGTTATACACAAACTCGCTTACCCCCCACTACAAAATGTCACTCTTCTCCCTCTGATACACGTGTACTTAAAAAATAAATACAAGTCAGACGGTGAGAAAAGATAAATCATGTCTTTTTACACAATGTATGAAAAACTTCCGGTTGAGATTCTTCGAGCTCACCTGGTTTGTCTGCTTTACCGCCTTCAGCAGCCATCACTGTCAGTACCAGCAGCGCCATGGCAACCAGCAGAGCACATAGCTTCTGTAAAGCCATCCTGAAACAGAAAATAATATAAAATGTATTAAATCATTAGTAGTAAGTAAAGGCAACTTGATGGTAGAATATGAAATGATATGTGTTTAAGGATATTCAGTTACTATAGTTATGATAGTGTCCTGTTATAGACAACATAGACATTCATTATTAATTATAAGACTTTTTTAAAATAAATTTTGTCTCGACTGTCATTAGGCCGCTGAACTCTCTGCAGCTTGTTGGTAATATGGACTTCAGTGTGGTTTTAAGCTTGTTTTGTTGTGTTCATCTGTTTTTACGGGCTCCACCTCAAGTCGCATTTGTTATTGTTTGTGTGACAGTGTTTTTTTGCCATATCCTGCTGAAATGACTTGGCCCTGGTGGGTTAAATGAACTCATCTGAATCTGAATCTGAATCATTGAATCTGTTTGTTTTTATGTTTTAGATCAGAGGTAAACTCTCTGTGACTATATGGTTCTCTGGGAATAGTAATGTTTGTGAATTCGGGCGTTCTGCTCTCCCAAAATTCCATCCGATGGGCGGGGGAGCGACTGAATTTTGCGTTGCATTATGGGTAACACTTGCCTTCGCAACTTCCGGTTCTCTCTGCCCGGCGCATTTTCTCTAAATGGTTGAGTGTTTTCGTCATTTTCTGTATGCAAATACATTCCCGTCTCTAACTAGTGGCATATCGCGCAAATCATCCGTCCAATTCACATTCTTCCCTCTTAGCTGAACTTCATTCTCATTGTTACCATCTGTCACTCGCACACACAGCCGTTTTCGTTCACTCTGCTCGCTGTCATCTTCTTCTAAATCTTCATAAACACCATCCGCTCGTTGAACTAGCAACAACAATTCCTCCTTTCGTTTTCCCACACTGCAAATACCCTTTCGCTTCAACCTTTCACGCAATTCAGGCACTGTCAATCGTTTGTTGTTTTCGTGAGCCATATTCGCCATTGTATGAAATCAACCGGAAGTGAACTGGGCAACAAACGGTGTCATTTTTTGATCACAGCGCCGCTCAGTGGATGAAATTTTGGGAGAGCAGAACGCCCGAATTGAACCTATGATCTATAATTGTTTAAATGGATTTCACCTGATTGGCTATGCTGACTGACATAATTTCAGACAACTATCATGGTGTTGAATAAAACTACAGGTGAAACAACAACACCAACTTATTCAGAGGACTTAACGAAACCATTGAAATCACCAACACAGATCAGAGAATCAACATTTAAGACACAAAATATACGCACATGTATTTGTTCATATGGAGAGACCAGTGTCCATGAATGTTGATAAATATCCATGTTGTAGAATGATAAAGTATATAAAACAAGGAATGGGCTTGAACTTTCTTCCTAACTGATGTACTATAGGCTTAATTCTTGTAAATAGTGTATTCTTAAATGTTGTCTAATGTGTCAACACTATAATGTTAGTCTTGATTGATGTTGTCTCTGTTTTGTGTTTTTGTTACGTTCATGTGTTTTAATGTATTTGAATGGCTTTTTAACGTAACGGCCAGGGGACTACAGATGAAAAATAGCCTCCTTGGCTAAATATGGCTTTTTTTAACACATGTTTAATCATGTGTTTCACTTGTCCCCTTTGAAATAAACTCAATTCTAAATTCTTCTAACTTTTTAGAGCATCTGCAGGAGGAAACGTTAGTGAAGAAACAATGAAGTTTGTTTAATAGTAACAAGCTAACACACTGATCTGTCTCCTCACAGACGAGGTAAGAGACACTTGATGATGGAGTCTCAGCACTTTCCTTCAGACTTTCCTCTGTCACTTCCACTGTGCAAAGCAACTGTCTCCAGAACTGCCACAATCTCACACTTTTGTGGTACTGGATTGATTGAAACAACTGGTCAGAACTCTTGATGTGTGCAAAGTTATGATACAAAGTTTTTAAAAGTAATTATTACAAAGTGCGTGTTTGTGTGTGTGTGTGTGTGTGTGTGTGTGTGTGTGTGTGTGTGTGTGTGTGTGTGTGTGTGTGTGTGTGTGTGTGTGTGTGTGTGTGTGTGTGTGTGTGTGTGTGTGTGTATAATAAGTTGGAGAGTGGCCATAAAGGTGCTGTAGCACTGACAATTGTGTTGACATAGTTTGTGCACAAAAGGCCTGTAGAGCCAAACTTGAATTACCCCTGGGTTTGGCACCGTTAGAATAATGCTTGGTTACATATAGAACAGCTGTGATGTTTGTCTTATAAATACACATCATTAAAGTGAAATGCAGCACAACCATCAAGACATAACCATGAGATCATAGCCATGGCAATTTACCCACCTTTTTAAAAAAAAATTATTTAACAAATAAAAATGGTTTGAAACTCTAACGTGTGCATTAGAGGTACTATGAAAGGAATTGAGAACATAGTGATTGAGATTAAACTAACATTTCTGGGTAAAGCTTTTTTGTTTGTATAGAGAGCCGTTTTTTAAACCATTCTAAAGAATATGGTATTCATTCATTTTCAAAACAAATGTTTAATTATTCTCACTTTACAAAGAAGGCTATACAATGAGTTTCAAAGAAAAGCTAAGCGATAAAGATCATTTTCTGAGAAAAACCTATTGTAGCCTTTTTATAAAGATAAGACTTTCCTCAAGTGCTGTGCAGCAAGCTCTCGATGCAGAGCAGGCACAGAATAAAAGATAACTGGTCAGAGGATCAGGAAAAATGGAGGAACAAAACTAAATTTTCTATTTCCTATATCTGAGTGTGTCCTATGATATGACAGCGGGGGTTTCTCTAAAGGGTCAACACTTCATCCACATGTTCCACTGTGGAGGCATTTCATGGATGTCTGGTCGGACTGTAGCCTGATAAGCAGAGCTGCCAGTGCTAATGTAAAGCACTCTTACTGCCTTTGCACACAGCATCTTTCTGAGATTAGGATAGAAATGTCTCATGTGTTTCATTAGGACTCTTTTAATTTGTGCAGATTAAGCAGCACATCCTTCAATGCAATGTTGAAAATTGGCAGTTCTACTCTGCCTCCTCCACAAGGCGTCAAAGTATCCTTTGGCAAGACAACCTTACCTCGGCTGTGATAAAGAGAGTTCCATATGGAGAAGCTCTATTTATAAATTATGATTCACACACATTTCCCCTTTTCTAGAGCAGAGGCACTTGGACAAATATTTGAGGAAGCAAGAAGAAAAGTGTATGTACTCAGTAAAACCTAGGAGTGTGAAATTTAAAGTAATTTACAAGTAGAATTACTGAAGGTAATCTTCTGGCTTCCAAGAAATTATTATAAACGATAGGCGCAAGCAATGAATGGCCTTTGTCTTCGCCAAACCACGAATTGTCCACAATGTGTACCCATACGAGGGGAGGGTTAACCCCCTCTGCATTTATTGTCATTGACTTTAAACACAATAAATCCATAGGTCATCATAATAATAATATTAATAATAATAATTGTTATGTTTAAAAATTAATTCTTTGCAAGGGCATCCATCAAAATGAATCAGAAATGACGTTAATTTAGTTTACCGCACCGGTTATACTTTTTGGTTCCTTTGCCGATAGTACCACAGCAGGCTTGTTGTAAATTATCCATTGGTGTATTTGCCAAAGGCACATATGGACAATGCAGTGGAGACGAAAGTTGAATCTTATCCAACTCTTTGTGGCAGCACATCTGTTGTTTTGCAGACTACAGTATAGTCTGTTTGCTTTTGGTTTCTGATAAACAATAAACCAATGCAAGAACACAGCAAACGGTGGCTGAGTGGATAGCACTCTTGCTTTTCAGCAAGAAGGTCCTGGGTTCGAATCCTGGTCGGAGCAAGGTCTTTCTGAGTGGAGTTTGCGTGTTCTCCCTGTGCCTGCGCAGGTTTCCTCCAGGTGATCCGGTTTCCCGTACCACTAAAACCTAGTTAACTCCTGGTGATGGGCGCTGTTCTACAGTGACCACCGCTCCTGACGTAAGCTTTAGTGGCATCAGGATGGGTCAAATGCAGAGGAGGAACTGCCCTACGGGATTAATAAAGTGCCCCTTTACCTTGAACTGAACACAGCACACAGCTGCTTGAACATGAATGAGGAGCGGCCCGGTCCCAGTGACCAGCTTGGAAGTGTATACATTTGGACATTTCCTTTTGAAGTCACAACATTTGAACATCACACAGAGCGGAACAACTAACGGCAGCCCCGGAAAAGCATGTGGGGCAACTTTGGAGCGACATGATGAGAGAGGGCAGTGCGACAGGTACAGAACGCTCAACATAGACCTTCAAACGTGGTCTTGCCACACCTACTTTGTTAAGTTGAAGCATTCAGAATGGGAGAGTGATGAAATTAGGGGAGTCACCTGTGGGCTAGGATGTTAGTACATGCACTCCTTGTCAAATAAGGGGTTGACCCTAACGTCACAGAGGTGCAAGATGATGATAATTATCCAGACTAGACCTGATTGATCTGGAACAAAAATAGATCACCAAGAAAGAGAGATACCAATTGCCAACAGACAATTCTGGACCTATTGACAGCAGTGTTGTACTGCTCTGTTCTCACATCAAGTGCAAGTCTGTCTTCTCCCTCATTAGGTCTGATGTAATCGCTGTCTGGGACATGAAAGAGAATCTGCTCCACCGTCAGAAGTGTGGCCTGGGTCTCCTCCTTCGTCACTGTGTCGAAACAATTAGGAACATACTTTTATGTGAGAGTTGGGTTAGAGTGAATATGATTCCATAAAATAGAAAAATAACTAATTTATGGGAATCCTCTCTTTTTGCATAAAAAAGTATCTAGTCAACATTCTGTTGATATGTTTCTCATTGACAAATAATTACTCTAGAAAGTCATTTTCCCATTACTTGACTGATTATGCTTCTGGCAACTTTTTCTCTTTTTTTTAAACTAATTTTTTGGGACTTTCTAAACCTAACAATGTGAATATAAGTATTGTCAAAACATTCAAAACACAGACACGACAGATGTGATTTATATATTCTATTTATATAGTGCTAGGAACAGCAAAGATACTG